GATCTGTGGAGGGGCAGGACAGCGGTGGGCGGTAGGGTAGTGTTGATGGCGCTGGTGGGTGGGCAGTGAGGCAGCGGGCGGGCGGCAGTGGGTCAGGGATTGGGTGGCGATGGCGCTGGTGCAGCGGCTCAGGACAGCGGTGGGCGGTGAGGCATCGATTGGGTGGCGATGACACTGGTGCGGCGGCGGGGCGGCAGTGGGTCAAGGATAGCGGTGTGGTGGTGGGCCGATGAGGCTGGGGCAGACGGTGGGGCTGTGTAGAGGGGCAAAAGATAGGAAGGTAATTTGGACAATTTAATGTAGTCAACCCTCACTAAAAATGAGGAAATGTCAAACTAGGAAGATTTTTCCCGGACGGAGGGAGTAATTTTTATTTTTAAATTCTACACCATTTTTCATATAAAATGATTTGAAAATAACTTCAGTCAAACATCGTAACGCGCAACGTAAAATTTATTTGTGGACGGAGGGAGTATATATTATACTCACGTATCCATATAATTACAAAAATACATTAAAATATACGTTTATTTGATACTATACGTATAGTACGTATGAATTAAATATTTTATTATAAATTTATTTCTATGTTCCAAAAAATATTTAAATAAAATACGAGTGATACTTTATATCGGTTATACATACAATACTCAACCGATTTGAAAAAATATATACTATCTACATTCTACAAAAAGTTTTACACTTTTTTGTCAAGTTTAAAAAAACACTTCACTCTTTCCCTTTTTATCTGTCTCAAAAATTTATTTTCTTTTTAGAAAGGAATGTGTAACTTACAACTTTTATTTGTTTTTTTCTAAATATATTCAAACTATAAAGTTTTTTTTATTTTAACATTGTTTAAACTATTTGTCAAAAAAAACATTCTTTAAACTACGTACGTGAAAGTCAAATAAGGATATCATTCCTAATGAAGGGAGTATATATTTTTTCAAATAAATATTTTAAATAAATAGAGATTCTAATTTGAAAAAATCTATTGTAAATATTTCATTGAAAAGATTTTTGTATTTTGTTTATTTACCCTAATATAAATTGATGACTATCAATCGATAAATATGTGTAAATTTCACGATATTTTAAGAATATAAAATGTTTAAGACGCGCACGTATCTGTATCCATTTGCCGAACGTTTAATATTGATAGTAAGTCGTATTTTATAAAATCCTAACGTATTATACACGAACATACATATTTATGTATTATACGTTAAGTCGTATATTAGTAACTATATCTTCAACTTTTAAAAGTTGATAAATAGTCATTCAAGTATTCAACAACCTTTAAATCCACTTTTCAAGCTTCAAAAGTTTATAAGTAGTTCTTCAAGTAATCATCAACCATCCAAATATAATCCTTTTTACAGTACACATTAAAAGGTAAATAGAGTACTAGCTCCATATACATAATTTCTGACCTGTAATAAGTGTCAGATGCAACTAGCTCCACATATATAACTCCCGCCTCAGTGTCAGATGCAACTTCCGACCTGCATTGGGTGCCTGGCGTTTGCCTCGTCCTTCGAGCAGCACAATGGGTTTTTCCCTCCAATTGTAAATGCTGGAGATAATTTTACTTTCAAAAGAGTTGAATTTGTATAGAAAAGAACATAAAACTTTGATTGGAATTATGGAAACCCATTAATTCCCTATACGTAAAAAACAATCACCAACGTATAGGTATAAGAGCTTCGTATTATGTATATAGAAGTAGTGATCCATTTATCTTTTAACGTGTATCATAAAAAGGATTGCATTTCGAGGGTTGATGAATACTTGAAGAAATACTTGTGGACTTTTGAAACCGCATGTGAGGGGTTATGAATACTTGAAAGACTATTTATGGAATTTTAAACTTGAAGGAGCAATCGTCCACAGCTAATAAAGTTGAAGTACCAATAATAGATTTTAACCCACAAAATGGGTCAAGAAATGCAACTTTTATAAAATTTGATTTTCAAATTTTTAAGATAAATATTTAGGCTCCGTTTGGTACACGGAATTCAAACTATGGAATTGAAATTGAGGATAACAATTTCAATTTTGCTGTTTGGTAGCACAAAAATATGTTAATTTAGAATCGATATTACCCAAAATGAACTGGAGTTGGAAAATACAATTCCATTCAAATGAATTTTATAGAATTTCAACTCCAGATTCAATTTCAATTCCGTATACTATGCGGACACTTAATCTTCTTTGTGTCATTGTTTTAGACTTTTAGATGTTATTATTGAGTATTGTCAATCTCCTAGGAACATGATAATGTTTACAAATATCACTAGAGGTAATGATATCAACCATGATAGTTTGAAAATTGTAATGTCAATTACTACCATGCCTATCAACATTGTTTGTCTTAAATGGCTTCATTTAAAATAAGGGGGAGTAAGAAAATAGAGTGTACACCAAGCAAAAGGCCAATTAGCTTCGGTTAGGGATGGCAACGGGTCGGGTTCGGGTCGGATAGTACTATACCCGAACCTGACCCGACTTTTAAAACCGAAACCCGAACCCGACCCGAAACCCGACCTTTTAAGCTAAAACCCGACCCGAACCGAACCCGACTTTTAACCAATAATCAATTCGACATATCCCAATAATTTTGAAATGATTAAATCTAATTTTTTCATGTCTCTTTTTTGTGTCTCATTTTTTGTTAAGGAATTATAAAAATGATTATGAAAAGCATACTTGATATAGTAGCACTTTGTCAAGAAATTATACGGAGTGCTTATTATATCCACAGATAGGCTTTTATGTAATAAAATATTCGGGTTTTAGTCGGGTTGGGCGCGGGTTCGGGTCGGGTCGGGTAAAATTATAAATCCACACCCGACCCGACCCGATGTCGGGTTTGGGTAAAAAATTTCGGGTCGGGTTCGGATTATTTTATTCTCGGTTCGGGTTCGGATATTTTAGTGGTCGGTCGGGTCGGTTAAGCTCGGGTTCGGGTTGAATTGCCATCCCTAGCTCCGGTGCTCCTTGTAGTTTGAAAAATTGACACCAATACCTCATCTGTTTTCAAAACTTTTTTCTAAATTTCCTGGCTTATAAAAAGTTGTACTCACACCCTCTTTGATCATTTTTCGACCATTTTCTGGCAAAGATGGGGCATTGGCATATAATTTCTAAAACATATGGGGCATTCGTGTTCATTTCTTATTTTTCGTTTATTATTTGTGTTTTCCCTTTTTCTAAATATTTTCTATCTCTTTTTCCTTTTCCTAGAATTGTTTTAAAATTATTTTCAATTTTTTATAATGTTTTAAAAATTTTAAAATTCTTTGTGTTTGAAACGTTCAAAAAGAAAACCCAGAATATAAAAATAAAAATAGATCTACTTTTGTACCATTTTGTATACACGATATAGCACAAAACTCTTCATTTCTAAAACGGCACCACTTTTGTTGCTAGTGTCTATGAGAGGAAATCAACCTCATCATCTCGTCTACTCTTGTGCTTGTCTTTCTTGTGCTCTCGTCTATGTCTTCCACCTTTGTTCTCCCTTCACCAATCCTATAACAAAAATGGAGATGGGGTAGAAAACTAAACGGTAAAGAAATATACACAAATTGTTAAATGACACTAGAACAAATATTATACCAACCCTTCTTCAACATTTTAAGGAAAAACCCACAATAGGTGTGATGAAAGAAGTGATGGGGCACTTTCAAATCACTTCAAAAATGGTACAAAGGTCGTGGACATTACTAAACAAAAAATATGGAAGAAGAATGGGGTAGAAGAAAGTTGCATTGCATATGTGAGTCGATTAAGTTCTGACATGATCTGATTATAATTATAATTAAAGTTGTTTCTGAGCTAATCTAATCTGATTACAATAATAATAAGTAAAAATGAAAAAAGCATTGTAAAGAAAAAGGTTTTAGTCCTAATTGTGTATTAAACATGAATCTCAAAGGCAACATGCTCCAAAGAATAATGTTACTTGCACACCAAAAACTACACTAAGGATATACAATGACACTGTAAAACATAATGTACACTTTTTTAGTGTACACCTTGCACAATTATTCTCCAATTCACATTAACCAACACGCCCAAATCATATTACAAACGCCAATTCCAAATTTTAAACAAAACGAATCTTGATAACTAAATTACGAGAATACTAAACTCCCCAAGTTTGACATTATAAGTTTGACGCAAGTACTAAATATATGCACAAACAATGATTGTTTGTCCATCACAAACAACGATTGCAAGTATATATTTGTAAAACACTTGGCGATGCATCAAACTCTTATTGTCAAACCTGATTAGTTTCCAACACAACTCATCATATTAAGCTTAAAGCACCCCACTTTTGACACAAATAAGATGGTGTCAAGTGTCAAAGTTGGAATACACGTAACATTTTTTCCACTAATATTAAGGGGCAAATTGAGAAAAACATAACTTTTGACACCACTTTTACACCAAAAAACACACTCACAACATAGAATCAACCCACTTTGCGTTGGTGTTTGGCTTTGGTGTCAAAAGTGTAGTTTTCAAGTCTTTTCGAAAGCTAATGCTTGATTGACCCGAACATTTGAACACAAAAGTTTAACCTTAGTCTTACGGACATTACGGACACGGAACAGTGTTTGTAAGGACGGTAAGGTTGGGTTCAATTTTTGGATTCAAATGTTGGGGGTTAAAAAGGGGCATTTTCTTTTTCCAATAATTACAGTAAAAATCTTGCCGATCATCTCCATCATCAGAAGCTGTAATCCGGTTTAGTTACAGTAGATATCCTCTGCAATCCCGCTCCCTTCTCTTCGCCGATATCTTCACCTCCTCCTCCTCCTTCTTCTTCCCAGGCGAAAGCGGGATGGATGAGAATGTAGTTCAACAGACGGGTCCCTCTCAGGGCGTTGGTCAACGGCAGGTGCCCCTCCGGCACATCATCGCCGAGCTCCCAACTGAACTCGTCGGGAAAGGAGCGGTAATTGTACTGGACCACCTCCGTCTCCAGCTTCTTCATCCACCCGATCTTCATGAACAGCTCCGTGAAGTCTCCGTCCACTCTGTCCCAGATCTTCTTCTGGACGCTGTATCCGAACCGGCCGTCGCTGTATTCGCGCCACAGGGAGTCGATCCGGCGCAGATCCGGCGCGGGGATGAACTGGACTTCCGAGAAGAACACGTACCCGCGCTCCTGCGCGGCGTCTCCGGCGAGCGCGATGAGGAGGCGGCGCGTCTCCTCGTCGGCCTGCCGGAAGTTCCGCGCGGACAGGTGGCGCTCGAGGAGATCGAAGGAGGCGGCGGCGGATTGCGCGGTGGGGGCGACCGCCGTGGGGGCGGCGGAGAGGATCGAGAATTTGTAGACCCCGAGGGAAACGGCGACGGTGGTGCAGGCGGGGGTGGGGGGTTTTTTGAGGAAGAAGGAGGAGGACGGGGAGGAGGTGAAGTCGGAGTGGCTGCGGCGTAACGTACGGCGGTGGCCGCCGCCGTGAGGGGGGCTGTGAATGGAGGGCAATGAATTGGTAGTAGCCATATCCCTTAAGGTTGGGGGATTTTGGGAGAGAAGAAGAAATGGGGGAGAATTTGAAAGGTTAGAAAAGGGAGAAGAAGAAGATAAGAATCTAGAGAAAGCGCGTGGTTGGATAAAAGATGGGTCAGTGTCATCCACAGACACTCTCTAGTCACACTGGCGCTGTTTAAACGGGGGGGACCTATGCTATGAACATGTTTTTGGGGTATGTTTGTTTTGGAAACATGTACACTCAATATTTATGTGCTCCCTGTTAAATTGAGGTCCTTGCAATATTGTTACTCAAATACTCTAGCCGGTAAACTAATCATTTAAGGTTGGGTGGCGAGGCAGGTGACGCCTTGCCACCTGGGCCTTAATCGGTTAGTTTTTACATTTGCCTCGCATGGCATCACGGGCCGGCATCACCATTCTTCCACGGTTTGAGAGCCATGCGCGAGCTAGCTCTTTCTTTTCTTTTCTTTTTTTGTAAAAAAAAAACTGAAGAAATTAGGAAAGTTGGAAAAAATTAGAAGAAGTTGAAAAAAACTGAAAGGAGTTGGAAAAACTAGAACGAGTTAGAAAAGGTAGAAGAGTTGGAAGAAACTCGAAAGAGTTAATTTTAAAAAAAAAAGTTTAAAAAATAAAAAATGTAAAAATAATTATTTTATTTTATAAATTTCATATTTTATTTAAACAATGGATGCTCTACTTTTTAAAATTTTAAATTCTTTTTATTTTCTTTTATGCCATTATTTTTTTATCCAATATCGTATTCTAATTTTTGTGACTCACACTCTTTGTTTCCTTTTGAAAATCAATATCAATAATATATTTTTTTCAGTTTTTCAATTGTATGTCGCTTATTCATGTAACAACAATGAGAAGATAAATTAAGCAATAATTTTTAATAATAATAGTTGAAAGCAAAAGTGAACTTCAATAATATAACGATGTCTCAATCAATCAAAAATAATCTGACACCTTGTTTTATATATTAAAATAATTAAAAAAATGACACAAGACTAACAATGTTAATTTTGAATTAGAAATTATTAATTTAAAATGATTTAAAATGTTGTTTAATTATGCAAAAAAATGCAACAAGTAACGGAGAATTAGTTAAGGAGTGTATCATGTGTATAAAATATATACATATTACGGAGTAAAATTTATTGTTTTTGTTGATTCTATCCAACTTTCATCTCACATAATAATATCATGTTGCATTATTATTATAAATCAATAAAGTAAAGAAAAAAAATTAAATAATAAAAAATAAGTCTTTTTTACTTTTTTTACGATTATTTTTTTGAAGAACAAATAATTAAGAATTTTACATATTAAGTATTAGACCGGACTTGGACCCTCCTATTTGAGGAGATTTCCCCCCACGACACCGTGTGTCCTAACGTGACTACCCGGTCCCCAAATGTTCCTATTTTTTCAGAAGATCGCGTTAGTCTGGACCAATTTTTAAAAAAGACTAGACCGACGCCTTCCTAAATAGTACCAATTTTTTGAAGAGGCCGTTCTGGTCTGACTAGTTTGGTCCTTTTGCTCATTTCTACTTTACGGGAACAATTAGCGAGAGGTAGAGATCATGAAGAGGTAGAGTCGATGATGGGGCAAGGTTTCGGAACCCTAACTCCCAGACTGATTCTGGTGGAGGACCGACGGTGTACCACGAGGAGCATACACAAGGAGAGCGACAATGAATAGTGAATGTTTTACTTTGAATTATAAATCTGAATTATTTTTTAAGACATTGTTGGAAGACACTGAATAGAGTTGAACAACTGAAAGAGTTGGAAATAACCGAAAGAAGTTTGAAAAAATTAGAAGAAGTTGAAAGAAACTCAAAAAAATTAAAAAAAATTGAAAGTTAAGAGTTAACGCTTAAAAAAACAGAGCTTACATCTATTATTTATGAAAAAAAGATAAGTAAAATAATTTTTAAAAATTAGAATATATCAAAAAATGTAAAAAATAATGACTTGTCACTACTGCATCATATGTCACTCAATCGCTTGCCACCTAATCTTAGGTGGTCGAGCCCAATTAATTTAAGGAAAATGCTCGGGGTACACCAAAGGTGTAACCCAAATGTCTCTCACCCCTTTCTTGACCACAAAAATTGACAAGTAAATTCTAAATAAATAAATAAAAATCAAATAAAAATAGATGGTGAAGAAGCACGTGGTGTACATTTTGGGTACGGGGGTGTACCCCTAGCATCTCCCTTAAAATCTGCAGGCTGGCTTTTTGGGATTTTTGAACATAACTATGAGTAATATGTGGTCGTGTTTTGAACTTATTGTTTAAATTCTCTGTATTCAAATTCGACATCAAATCGCCTTTATAGCTCAGTGGTAGAGCGCCAGTCTTGTAAACTGGAGGTCCGTAGTTCGATCCTGCGTGGAGGCATTTTTTAAATTTTTTTTCTTCATTTTTTTAGTAAAACTAAGAGACATGCGAGTAGGGTCGTAAACTAAATGAGTCGATGCAAATACCCGATATTTGTATTTGTTTAATTTTTTTAGATTCAAATCCAAATATGAAACGAATAAAAATAAGATTTGTATTTTATTAATACTTGAAGATCGACTTAACAAATCATATACAAATATTTTTATAATATAATCATACTCTGTAATTTAATTATGTGATGGACCAACATGGATTTTTAATAATTTAACTTTCAATATTTCTTATATTATATCTAAAATATTAATAGATTTGCGTCTTATAAAAATAATACGTAGTATGTTATAAAAGATAACTATTAAATTCATATGCTTTAGATTTTTGTATTACGTTAATTTGACGAAATATTAGTAATTTAAATGTACTCTATACTAATATGTATATGAGTTTGCTCGACTATTGGTTTTGAAAACATGGCCTATGTAATCTATATATGTATTTGTTTAATATTCGAATTAAAAGTAGTATTTGAATTATGCGAATTCGAAACTTTTCTTAAACTTTTTAAACTTAGACTATAATTAGCTCTCACCAATACTATCCTCCACATTTAGTTTCCTTGATTTGTGAATCTCATGTTTCTCCAAATGATTTTTTTTTCTGTCTCAAAATAATCGTCTCGTTTCAACTCGAAGAATGTGAAAAATAACAAAATCAAGTACCTGATTTATATTCTGTTTCTCCAAATAAGCCAAAGGTTGGACTGGTGTTTGGGAATAAATTGTTCCAAACAAGTTTAGGTTTAGTAACTCATTGAAATCATTCTGCTACTTTGAGAGCATGGATACCTCATTAAGTCTTCATTTCTTGTTCTCCTTTCACCCTAAATTTGATTGATATTTTGGTGCAATGTTTTGTTTGAACTAAAATAATTTGACTTATTTGAACACTTCTGTTAGTTCTGTCCAATTTAAATGATATTATTACGAGAAAAGAATATATATATATATATCTCTAATATAATAAGTACAACTCTTCTAAATAAAATGATCCAAAGTTGCATTTTGGCCAACAAAATTCATGCAAAATGAAACAGGTCTTATTTTTATTGTTATTATTGCCCCTGCTATGCTAGAAGTTGTGCTGCAAGAACAAGTGTTCTTGAGGGGAGGCTGGGCCGATCTCTTCTTCCAAGCTCATCAAGTTACCCTCGCCCCCTCCGGTCCCCGTCCCGCCACCGTTATTCTTCCCCTCGACGTCTCCGTCGGAGATCGAGGACTTCCTCCGCTGCGAAGACGCCACGGACGGGAAGGTGATCCACGAAGGCGCCCTGAATTCGGACCTCATCGGGTCCTCCGTTGGCTCTCCCCCGCCCGTCTCCGACCGTTGGGAAGACCTCTGCGAGGCCTTCTTGTGCATCCTGCTGCTCCCGAGCACCACCTCGGTGGGCAGGATGGGCTGCCCGTTGCTGGGGCTGCCCATCAGGAGAGCGAGCGCCCGCTCTAGGGACGTCGTCACTCTGTCCATCGACGGTCTCTCCTTCCCCCTCATCCTCACACATTTGCTCGCCACGTTCGCGATCCTCCTCAGGGCCTCGATATTGGGCGGGAGTTTCAGGACGGGGTCGAGGATGGCCTCTACATCCCCCGCCTTTATCAACGGGACCGCCCATTCGACAATGTTCCCCTCCTCGTACTGCATGTCGATCGCCTTCCTCCCGCTCAAGATCTCCAGAAGCAGAACTCCAAAGCTGTAGACATCGGACTTGGTGGTGAGGTAGTGGAGCCTGTAGTACTCGGGGTCGAGGTACCCCAAGGTGCCCGCGGGCAGCTCGGCCAACGGGGAGCTACTGCTCGTGGGCCCCAACAAGGAGAGCCCGAAGTCTGCAACCCTTGCATTGTGCTCTTCATCTATAAGAATGTTGGACGACTTGATGTCGCGGTGGATCACAGGCGGGCAAGCGTAACCGTGGAGGTACTCAATCCCACGGGCAGCTTGGACCGCTATCGTGACCCGCCTCACCCAATCCATCTGCTCCTTCTCCGCCCTGCTTTTGCAGTGCAGGTGCTGGTGCAAGGAGCCATTGGCCATATATTCATACACCAAAAGCCTCTCCCCGCCTTCCTCGCAGTACCCGAGGAGGTTGAGGAGATGCGCGTGGTTCAGCCTCGACAACAAGTCGAGCTCCGTGTGAAATTCTTTCGAGTTCTTCTTCATGTCCGGGGACACGACTGCCCTCTTAACTGCAACCACCGTCCCGTCGCCCAGCACCCCTTTGAAGACACACGAGAAACTCCCCTTTCCGACTTGCGACTCCTCCCGGAAACCGCCTGTCGCTCTCTCCAACTCCTCGTAGCTGAACATCTGAGCCCTCCTGATCTTTAGATCCTCCGGGAGAACTTTCCCCCTCTCCTTCTGGAATGTGCAATTTCTTTTCTTGACGGTCGACCGCTTGCCGGAACAAGTGCAGCTCCGTAGCCGGTAACGGACGTACATGACAGAGGTGAGGGAAACTATGCTGACCAAAAACACGGCGAAAGCAACTCCGGCGAGAATGACCGGCAACTGGAGGGGCCAGAGCTTGTTCGAATAGTTCTCCCCGTCGGAGCAGTGGGAGGAGCAGTCGGAGGAAACGCAGGAAGAGCAGTTGTAGGCGCACTGGCGGTCAGATGTCGGGGAGCAGCCGTCGTA